AAATAAATTTTCCTCTCATACAGAAATGGGTTTTTGAATAAATAAACTAATAAAAATAAATAAAAAGTAAATAAAATAATAGCCAATAAACTTTTAATCTAATATGTAAATTTATATTTTTGGAATAATTTCTTGCAAATATTTCACTTTTCTTCTTCGTTTTAATGGAAAAAAAATTCCTTTGTTCTCGCTTCGAATTAATTGCAGTGCGTTTTATTGGTAATATGGTCCATCAAGCTTGATAATTTAGAATTGCTCTTTGACGAGTGTATTTTCTGGTCAATTTTACAAGGCGTAAAAACGTCACACTTATTAGTCAGAGAGAGAGAGAGAGAGAAAGAGAGAAGTCTCTAATTTCAGTGACATAGTCCAGTCAGGAATGTCACTGATTGTTCAAGAGATCAAAAGTTCACACCCACGACATTTTTATCAAATCGTTAAATAGATTAATTTGCTTCCTAGCTGTCTTTGTTTTTCTTCGGCTCACAATGTAGATCAGAAAAAGAAAGTTGAAATTTTTATCAAAAAAATAAAAATGACGATTAATTGTTTAATTTCTTTCTTTTTTTAAACAAGAATATAGAATTGATAATAATCACTGTATTATAGCGATTATTATCAATTCTGAAGAGTGAAATTTTCGATTTTTCTTTTTTTTTTTTTTGAAAGTATGAATGTGTTAATTTTAATTGTTATAAAAGACCAGTGTTGTGCCAGTAGTTCACAATCTGTCATCTTGTATAGTAGTATATAGATAAAGCGTGGGTGATAATTAGATAAAGTATCACACAGACAATAACCGTTATCATTCAGTTCATAAAAATAACGGAAAGTAAATAAAATAGAAAAAAAAATCTGATACCAAAAAAACATTTTACAATATGAGTCATATGGATGAACTGCTATATATATTATAACGCGTCTGACGAATATAATTATGTACGCATTTTTTTTCTTCAGATAAAAAAATTTATTATTATTTGACAAGGATGTAGATCAGATTATATATTTGATTTTTGCAAATAATTTACAATTTATAATTATATTATTTTTATGCATAATTCAATTATTTTCAAACGCAATAAAATTCTTCTTTAAAAATCAATTATTTTCTAAATTTTTTAAAAAGTTTTCGTCAAAATTTTAATTATTTTTATAAATAATTAAATTCTTGGCAAAATTTTTATTATTTCCAAAAATTTTCTTCAATTCAATCATTTTTAATATTTACTATTTTAATAAAATTTTCCAAAAGAATTCAATTGTTCAAAAAAAAAAAAAAATTGTAATAAAATTCTACGCAAACAATTAATAATTTTCATAAATAATTGATTAATTTATTTAAGAAATATAACAGGTAAATAATTGAATTTTACAGGAATTCAATTATTTACAAATTTTCTAGAAATTTCTTCGCAATAATTTCAATTATTTTAATAAATAAAAATATTTATAATTATTTGACAAGAATGTAAATCAAATTCTTTAAAATTCAATTATTTTCAAAAATTTTAAAAAGTTCTCGACAAAATTTCAATTATTTTTATAAATAATAAAATTCTTGGCAAAATTTCAATTGTTTCCAAAACTTTTCCTCAATTCAATCATTTTTAATATCTAGGGGAACATAGTCTAGGTCGGCCACCTTTTTGACTTTTGTTTATAACTTTTTTTTAAAAATGAATTTGGACAATTGAAGTATATGGTTGGAAAGTCCTGTTTAATAGGAACATTTTTTCTGTACAAAGTAAATTGACAGGTTTAAAAATGAAAAAGTTATAAAGATTTAAAAAAAAAAAAATTTGTAGTCCAGGTTGGCCATTACAGTCAAGGTCGGCCATGTTTAAAATTCAAAGGGCATTAATCGTTAAAAAATAAAATAACATGTTTGGAGTTACGGAAAATTGATTCTTTATTGTTTACAGTTTGTAACTTAATGAAATAACAAAATAATAACAATAAACAATATAAAAAAATAAATATAAATAAAAAAAAGTTTTGCACTAAAATATTAATAAAATTAAATAAAAATATTAATAAGATGATCAATTATATTATGAGTTATACAGAATTGCAGTTTTTGCAAATGAAGTAGCTCGTCCTCAACTTTGCGCATTTTAAACACATAGTGGCCGACCTTGACAGTAAGTAACATTACCGAATTGTTGTAAACAAAAAGAAATACGTTTCGGGATTCGATTTTTTACTTTGTTTTCCTTTCAACCATGAGTCCCACAAATTTTCTGCATACTTGCCTTGACGATTCAATTTGTTTTTTATCTTTTATTAATGGTTTTTCACATTATGCACAAAACTTTTTTTGAGCTTTTTTTGTACCGACGTCACAGAAAACACAATTTTCGATTTTCCGAAAATGTAATTGAACAAAAAGTTAGGTTTCACTAAGACAAGCTTCGACAAAAATGCGCGTAGGTGGCGCTAGTGAACTTGACAAAAAAACGCGAGTGGCCTACCTAGACAGTAGGCCAACCTTGACTACATTCCCCTACTATTTTAATAAATTCCAAAAGAATTCAATTGTTCAACAAAAAAAAAAAAATTGTAATAATATTCTACGCAAATAATTAATAATTTTCATAAATAATTTGTTTATTTATTCATTTAAGAAATATAACAGGTAAATAATTGAATTTTACAGGAATTCAATTATTTAAAAATTTTCTAGAAATTTCAATTATTTTCATAAATAAAAAAATTTATTATTATTTGATAAGAATGTAGATGAAATTTATATTTATTCTCTAGCAAATAATTTACAATTTATAATTATATTATTTTTCTGCATAATTTTATTATTTTCGAAAAAATCAAAAGTAATAAAACTCTTCTTTAAAATTCAATTATTTTCAAAAATTTTCAAAAGTTCTCGTCAAAATTTTAATTATTCTTATATAAGTAATAAAATTCATTGACAAAATTTCAATTATTTTTTATATCTACTATTTAAATAAAATTTTCTAAAAGAATTCAATTGTTTAAAAAAAATTGTAATACAATTCTACGCAAGCAATTAATAATTTTCATAAATAATAAAAATTTTACAAGAATTCAATTATTTACAAACTTTTTTAAAATTTCTTTGCAATAAATCAATTATTTTCATAAATAATGAAAATATTTAACAGAGATTCAATTATTTACGTATAGCTAATATAATTTTTCACTGGAATTCAATTATTTTCATAAATAATAAAATTCTTTTTAGGAATTTTAATATTTTTAGAAATAAAAATCCTCGTCAAACTTTGAATTATTTTTATAAATAATAAAATTCTTCTCCGATATTTAATAATTTGAGTACTCAATAATTTTCAAAAATTTTAATAAAATTCTTGGCAAAATTTTAATAATTTTCAAAAATTTCCCTCAATTCAATGATTTTCAATATCCACTAGTTTAATAAAATTTTCCACAAGAATTTAATTGTTTAAAATAAATTTTAAAAAAATTCTACGCAAACAATTAATAATTTTTATAAATAATAAAAAGTTTACAGGAATTGAATTATTTAAAAATTTTTTTTAGAAATTTCTTCGCATTAATTCAATTATTTTCATAAATAATAAAATTTTTTGAAGCGATTCAATTATTTTTAATACAATTTTAATCCAATTTATGGAAAAATGTAATTATTCTTACAATTTTTTTCTTAAAATTCGTCGAAAGAATTGAAGTATTTAAATATTTGTTAATAAAACTCTTTATGAGAATTCAATTTTAAGAAAAATTTGATTATTCAATAAACTATTTATTTTTGTACTTAAATAATTGAATTCTCGTAAAATTTGTTAGTAAAAATTTATTTCAAAATGAATTTCAGTTAAAATTATTTTAGATAATAATTGAATATTAAAAGCATTACCTATAGGGTGAAGTTTCAGAAATAATTGAATTCTTAGAAGGAAAATTTTTTTGATATTATTTGAAGTTTTTATTTTCCAATGTATATTTAGTTGAATAATTTACAGATAATTGAAATTTCGTGAAATTGAATTGTAAACAAATGGATTTAAAAATTCTCAAAGAACTTTTTCAAAAAATTATTATAAAAATAATTGATTTAAAGAAGAATTTTAGTTAAACATTCTAGAAAATAATAATTTTGAATTGAAAAAGATGAAAATAATTTTGAAGAAGTTAGAGTAACAATATTCTTATAATTTTAAATAATGATTTTATTACTAACTTGGTCTTCTTTACTTATTATATGTAAAATATTATAATATTATAAAAAATAATAATTATATTAAAACATAATTGTATAAAGTATAATAAATAAAAATTTTATTCTCGCATTATTCTAGAAAAGTAAATTTTTTAATTATATGCTGCTGTGATAAATCGTGACGATTTAATACATTTGATATACTCATATAGTAGAAAATTGCAATTAATTAAGAGATTTACTTAAGTGAATGTCGCGAGTATATAAAATATATATCTATGGAAATACCGTGAGGGAAATCGTAATTATCGCTTTGAATCATAAAAATTTATGTAGATTATGTTGACTAACATATTTTATCTCATCCGCGTGTGTGCAGGTACATTTCGATTTTATACAATTTCATTCATTTGAAACCTACTCGTATTTGAAATGCCGCGCACATCCACCTTGCATCACCGTATTTTTAACATTAAATCGTAATTAAATCTTATTTACTAGGTTCTTTTTAATTAATTTATTTCGTATAAACGGAAATTTATTAATTAGATATTATATAAAGAATTCTTTTATTTACTCGAGAAATTGAAAACTTCTTTTTTACTCTTTTTAATTGTATACTTTTCAGGATTATTTTTCTTTAATATTTTCATTTTATTAAATTAATTTAAATAGTAATTTTTACTATTTTACTATATTGTTCAGAAAGTTCGTAAATTGTGCGATATAATTTGGAGAATTTTAGAGAAATTACAAATGATTGCAGAAATTCAATTATTTTCAAAAGTAATAAAATTCTTCGTAAAAATTCAATTATCCCATGCAGAAATTAAGATTGGAGTTTGATGGGGTTCTAGTCAGAAGTCCCTATCTGTAGTGGGGCACTGATTAGGGAAAATAGTTGGAACCCAACTACTTTCATAACGGTCATTAGATCGGGTACTGATCTAGTATATCTAGTCAGAAACTAGCAAGTAAAACTAGCTGATACCCCACTAGTGTAAAAAAGCGTACCCTTTTAGATTTTTATTAGTATTAATTGTAAACTACATTTAAATGACAATTATATTAGTTTTAATCATATTTATTTATAAATTGTAATACAAAAGTAATATTAGTTATTATTAGTTTAGAAATAATTTTGTTAACATAGAAATAAGAAATGAAAATGAATTTACTGATCTGTCTCATCTACTGCCCTAGCCTTGCGTCCACCTTCCCAATCCTTGGCATTTGGCAATACGGCTTTCAACTCAGCCAAGAAAGTTTGTTCATTTAAAAACAATCCTGATAGAGGATCTTTATGGCAAGTTGACATTGCAGCTGTAATGATATTTGAAGATTATTAAACTATAAATTTTATTAAATCACAATAATAATATAAAACAAAAATAAGATTGATTGATCATTTCAATAGAAAAGTAAATTTTTATGAAAGTCTTTTTTACCTATAATACAAGTTATCATAGATGTTTTCTTGAATATTAATTTATCTTTTGTTTTCTTCATGGCAACGTACTGAAGAGCCACGTTTTTTGATAAATATGTACGAAGAATGTTCGTAATTGTTTTTCGAATTTTTAAAGAGGGATCGAAGAGTTGAGGTAGTGAAGCAATCTAAAATAAATTAATAAAAATTAACTATTAATTATAAATTATGTATAAACTATAGAAATTAAAAAAAATAAATATTTTTAATACAGTGATTCCTATATCAGACTTAGCAGATAACAAATTTTAAAAAAGTATCAAAAAATGGTTACAAAATTGAAAAAAAAATTTGGCATCTAAAAAAATTCATTTTAGTCAATTTACAAAAATTTGATTATCTTTCTGACTTTGTATGCTCTGGGCTTATGAATCAGCGAATTTTCGCTGATTCAAATTTAGAGAGTATTTTTCTTATCCTGTTAGTAACAAAATATTCAATTATATTATCTAAAATTGAAAAAAATGCATTATTTAATTATTTCTTCAAATTGAACCTTTATAAAGAATTTTTACAAAATTCTTAAAAATAATTAAATTCTTTCGAAAAAGTTTATAACATTTTTAAGAATAATTTGCTTTTCAAAATAGTTATTTAAAATTTAATTAAAAATAACAAAAAACCTGCTAAGAATTTTGTTATTTACAAAAATAATTGAATCTTTCAATGACTATTGTTAAAATTGTTTCAAATAATTGAATTGCTGTGAAGAATTTTATTATTTGTGAAAATAATTTAATTTTTGCAAGGATTTTTGTAAAATTTTTTCAATTAATTTAATTTCAATTATATTGTATAAAAAATAAATTAATTTTTATAAATAAATTTTATCAAAATCGTTCAAAATAATTGTTCTCTTTTTAAAAAGTATTATAAAAATTGTTTTAAATAATTAATTTCATTCAGAAATTATGAAAATGGTATTTCAAATCATTAAATTATTGAAAAAGTTTTCTTATTAATAAAGATAATAGAATTTTTGAGAAATGTAAAATAATTTCTTTTAAAATTATTTATAAGAATTTTATTAAATTTTTTTATAATCATCTCTATGAATTACATTTACATTTTTGAGAATAATTGTTTTATTTAAACTATTAGAGAATTTTGGGTAGTGCCAATTTTCGAAAATGTAATATACTTAAATTTAAATTAATTTATAATGATCCTAATCGAAAGAAAGCCTTACTTGTGTTAGAATGTTAAATTGTTAAAAGATTTGTTGTACTTACAAACTGATTTTTAAACTCTTCTTTGGTTTCTAAATCATTGTCAAATTTTTGAAAATCCTCAAGCTCCTTGAAAGGCACATCCAATTTATTATCGTTTATAAATGTAAAATTTGATAAACTGGGTACTTGACCTCCAACATTTAAATGTGCATGTAAAAGCCTGAAATTTTCAGCGGATTCGCGAACATCAGTTTTAATATCGGAAATGCCAGATAAAATCGCATCTGAAAAAAATAAATATTAAAATAATTTAAAATTCTTTTCTATAAACTGATACAATGAATTGAATGAATATTATTGTAACAGTTGATTGTTCATACCATTCTGCTTTTTGATTCTTGTTAAAATATTATTGTCCTCCCTGTACGAATAAGGTATGCTGCTTGGCAAAGTTTGATGCTTCGGCAATTGTGGTGCCGCTAAAAACATGCAAAATTAATTAAATAAAATAAAAAATAATTACAAATAGTAATAATTGAATACTGATAAAGTAAGTAATAAGTAACCAGAGTGTCTAGTAATTTAGAAATATAAAATTCCCGGGTTTTTTCCAGTTTTTTCTCGGTATGTAAATAATTTTCCCGGATAATTGAAAACTAAAATGTTACTTTATAAATAATCAAATTTTTCTCCGAAATTCAATTATTTTCAAAAATTTTAATAAAATTGTTGGTAGAATTTCAATTATTTGCAAAAATTTTAATAAAATCGTTGGTAGAATTTCAATTATTTTCAAAAATTTTAATAAAATCGTTGGTAGAATTTCAATTATTTTTAATACTATTTTCATCAAATTTCTCGAAAAAAGAAATTAAAAAAAAATTATTTAATTTTGTGAAGAGAATTATTTATTTAATAAATTGTTTATTTTTGTATTTAAATAATTGAATTCTCGTAGAATTTTCTAATAAATATTTAAAAATGAATTTCAGTTAAAATTTTAGATTATAATTGAATATTGAAAGCATATCGTAAATTTTTAGAGATTATTGAATTTTGAAAAGATTTCGAATTAAAATCTTTGAAAACTTGAACTTTTCATACTTTTAATTAAGAATTCTGCGGAATTAATTTTTTTTTAAAGTTTAATTGAATTTTTTGTAAAGATTTGAAGTTTTAAATTTCTTATAGGTATATTTAATTGAAGAATGTCAGAGTAATCGAAATTTCGTAAAATTAAATTGTAAACAAAAGGATTTGAAAATTCTCAAAAAACTTTTTAAAAAATTATTAAAAAACAATTGACTTAAAGAAGAATTTTAGTTGAAAATTGTAGAAATGAATAATCGAAATGATGAAAATAATTTTTGAAGAAGTTACAGTAACAAAGTAGCAAGTTTTAATTATTATAAAACATGAAGAAAGCGATAACTCCGAGTCGAAGTAATTTTATGTTTAAAACCAAAAACAGGTGTTAAGCGTTGAAAAAATGTAACTATTTTTTGCAACAACATAATAATGTACTTAATAAAAAAAATTCCCGGATTTAAAAAAAAATTCCCGGTTTCTCCCGGTTCGCTAGACACCCTGGTAACACTCAATGAAATTCTTTTAGAATATAACAATAAATAAAACAGAATGCTAATTTTATCTAGATTTTTCACTCTTACCATTAGTAGTTTTTTTAATATTATTCAAATTCTTGTTTTGAGAAAGTTTTGAAGATATCGAGTTTTGTTGTCCTCTCGATTCCAATGCTGTGAAAATATGTTTTCAAAGAATGTAATTCTAGTTTTATAGGATAAATAAAAAGCTAAGAAATTATAATAGTTTCAGAAGGTTCGACAAATACTGTTTTTAAAAAGCAAAAAATTACAATTAATTTTCTAATTTAAAATTTAGGACATATTTTTAACTGAATGTTAATAATAATGATAATAAAAATAATAATGAATTAAAGAAAGAGTAATAGCTTTGATAAAAGTAGCAAATGTGTTAAATGATAAATATTGATGATTTTTACTTATTAACTACTTTTTAAGAAACTTTAAAGCATTATTAACAGACGTTACAAAATATTAATAATTGGCAAACAATCAAAGAGTTAAATAATATATTAGAAGTAGTGGAGAATTTATTTATTTTTTTATTCATATTGTGAATTTGTAACAAAATCTATAAAAAAATTTCTTTCATTTTTTTCTTTAGTTTAAATTAAACTCTATTAATGTAAATAATAATAAAAATGTCAATAAAAATAATAACAATTCAAAAATTGTCTAACAATTTTTATAATATTGATCGAACTTTACTTTACTTTCATTTTACAAGATTTATGAAATTTGAATTGAATAATAATTATGATAATAATATGATAGTAATAATAATCAATAGACAAAAAAATTACATCAGAAATACTTATTTTTGAATATTTTTCACTTAGGATTCGCTTTAGTATAAAATTTATTTTTTCTAACCCTATGAATCCAGATTGTACATAATATTTAATTTACACTCACCAGTTATATTGCCGCGTGATGTACTTGGATAATATTGAGTATTCAATCCTGACGTTTGACGAAAGTGGACATCCTCGAAATCAGAACTATTATCTGAATCAATAATTTCCCGAGTTTTAGATCTTTTCTCTGGAATAGGGTCAGCCAAACTAGGAACTTCCAGTGCTCTTTTTTTCGTAGTCGAATCCGAATCAATAATTTCCTGAGTTTTAGATCTTTTCTTGGGAATAGGGTCTGCCAAACTAGGAACTTCCAGTGCTCTTTTTTTTGTAGTCGAATCCGAATCAATAATTTCCTGAGTTTTAGATCTTTTCTCGGGAATAGGGTCAGCCAAACTAGGAACTACCAGTGCACTTTTTGTTTTAGTCGAAATTTTAGTTTGCTTAGAACGAATGCGTCTAGTTATTTCTATAGATTTTTCTTCACCAGCACTGTCAACTCCTGTAGTATAAGCAAATTTTTCTGTTTCTAAAACTCTTAACTTCTGAAGAGCTTCTTCATAGGTTGCTGGAAAAATTTAACCATTATTAGAAATAGTCAATTATTGTACAAATAAAATAAACAAACACACTCTCACATTAAAAAAATTACTCAATATTTAAAAAAATTAATTATTTACCTGCATGACCTTTCAAGGTGATTGGATAAGCTGGCCAATCTGCAGGTGCTGGTGCATCAGCCTTCAATAAATCAGTCAATAATCTATGATTTTCATTAGTATATGGTGGTGGCATAAATTGGCACAGAAGCTCATTTTCTTCATCGTCGAAGAAAATCCAATCCTTGCATGCGAAGTCGATATCCTTAACACTATTTACACTGTTTTTATCAGGATATATGAATTCAAAAAGCAAGTATTTTTTGATTATTTTCCCTTTTCTCGGTGTCATTTTTCAATTCTACAAATAATAACATTTATTTTCAGTTAATTCATAAACTACGAAGTAAATGAATTAGAAAACATTTTTAGTTGTATTTAAAAAAAGTATGATCCTCAAGTTTTGAACGTTCAAATGAACGAAATATTTTTTGTTGAAAATATTTTTATGAATTACTAAACACAAAAAAATTTACAAACTGAAATTTTACGTTTAGAAACTTAATAATTAATTTTATTGGATAGAGACGCAAAATAATTGCAATAAAAATTTAATTTATTGAGGAAATAAATAAATTTCGTTCATTTGAACGTTCAGAACTTTATGATCTTAAAAATTCAACAATTCTAACCTCAATGAGTTTTAGTTTTCAAACTACAATTATGGGCCTATTAATATACTTTTCGTATGAATATTTACACTTGTCTTCTCTTAAAGAAAACCCGATCACTTTAATAATAATGAATTTTATATTGATATTTATAAATTGCAATCTATTTTCGTTAATCGTCGTTTCACAGAAATGATGCACACGTAAAAAAATAAATATGGCTGACGCTTGGATAGAGAAACACTTAAAACAAAGACTGAGTTGGATTTAAGGCATGGAACAGAAATAACAGCCAATCACATTAGTAGACAAGCGCATGAGCAGTTCAATATTTTCAAATTCTTAGCATCAGTTTTAATAAATAAAGGAACACGTGATATGGCGCTTAGATTCAAATTTATTAAAAATTAAAAAGTTTGAATTTTTATTTTTTAAAGTTAAAGGTGCTTTTACTGTTCAGAACAATGATGAGAAATAAAAACAAGTTAAAAATTATGTTCATTTTATAGAGAATTTCACTTCCTCATATAGGTAAAATTTAAGAAAAACTTTTAAATCTATCAATTATAATTAACCAATTAATAAAAGGAAAATTAAATATTTAAAAATCAAATAATAATAATTTTACAAATATGTTGCGAAATATGACTTTATATCAATCGAATCGTTTTTCAATTAAAACCTTTTTCGTAAAAGAAGAATGATTTAAAAATGACGATTTTCGAATTTATGGTAAAAAAAATAAAAGTATTTTTAAATGATATAAAAAATGGAAAATTGACATTTATGTTATAAATTGTTGGTAAAAACTTATTTTATATCGTATAAGTCAAACGATTTGGTATTATTCAGAGAATTTTCTTTACTCTTCACGTTGCTTTTCAAATAGATTTTTTTTAAATATCACACTTTTTAAAGAATATCTGTATTACAAATATTTTGATTTAATATTTCTAAAAAATTGTGTGCTCAACTTTAGATAATATACTAAACATAAAAAATTTTATAAATCGAATTCATTAACTGATTATTGTGTAGGAATGTAACTATTACTCAATAATTTTAACCGCACTTACTCAAAATTACGAATACTAATACATTTTATGAATTACATTTTCGTCGATGTTTTTGTCCCTTGATGCAGTTTATACAATTATTCTTTTAACCATAATTGAAAGTATTTCTTAATTTACTTTAGAGGTTTTAGTTTAGTATAATTCCCTTGTAGATTTTAAATATTTGTTAAATACATTTTTAATAATAATGCAAAATAACAATTTATTATATTTTTAAAAAGAAACCTACAATTCTATGAACCAATATTTATAATTTAAACGCATCAATAATTTATTACAACCGTAAGAAGTGAAAAATACAAATATATCCAGATCGGAAGGCGTGTTTAATATAATATATTTGTATATTTATTTTGCATTATTGAATTCAATGAAGTAAAGGAACAACATACACTTTTTGTGGCCCATTTTCTGTGAATGATAATTGCAGCTTTACAACTTTTTGAGATATTGCTGCAATTGAATAAATTTTAATGTCTCTCATTGGAAGGTGATTCAATTTCCAAATATTAAAAATTTCTGAATTCGTCGGATATGTGTACAATGGTTTATCTTTCCTCCAAATTTGACATTCCACTTTTAAATTTTCATTTTCATTGTCATTGAAAATCTTTTTTATACTCACAATTTTATTGTTATTCAAAACAACAATATTATTAGGAGGTAATGAAGAAATTACCATTTCTTTGTACTTAACTTGTACAATACTACCATCCTTATTTGTTTTTAAAATTGTAATTGGAGGAGGTATTGTTGTTTTATTCTTAGAAACGAGTGTTTGTTCTTCAAATAATCTACGACAAACTTGTTGCAGGGTTTTATTTGGAGTGCGAAGTTTTTTTTTCAATTTTCCAAGAAAATTTTCGAATGAGAAAGCACTTATTAAACTGAGGTTACAGTCTGCAGTTATAACGTCATCGGCAACGTGGGTGAGATGATGTGCATTTAGAATTTGGGACGTAGCTCCATAATAATCTTTCATAGCCGTAAAAAAACTTGTTAAATACAGTTTTGCATGATCATTATAAGTTCGACAAAAAGAATCTGAATGTAAAATCCTGGCAGCAACATGTAACAGAAGAAAATGATCATACAAATTTTGCGGCAAAAGGTCTTTTAAGATTATTGGTCCACAATATAATAAAAAAAAACGCAGTTCCGTAGCTTTCCACTTTGCGAAAAAAGAAGTCGATCTGGTTTTTCGTTGGAATTCAATTGGAATCTGCGTTTTTAGAAATTCTAATCGTCTGGACAATTCAGCTCTGCTTCTGACACTTAATTTGCAATTTAATTTGCCATTCAACCAATAATCCATTAATTTCTTCATGATTCCACAGAAGAAAAGATGCATCGAATCCAACATAAAGATAGACACCATGTCTATGTGAGGAATAATGTCTAATAAAGGTGAAGGTCCATGATGATACTCAGGTTGGCGAAAATTTCTGAACGATTCATTCGTTCTCTCTACTGCATCAGTAGTCGGATAAACTGTTCTTCGTTCAACTCTTTCGCCAACAACTTCACACCTTTCACATGCCTGAATACCCCCATGTCCTAATGTGCGTTTTAAAAAAGATCGAGCAGGTGTATCACAAATTATACATTTTAACTTTATTCCGAAATGTTGCCCTTCTATCATGATACCATCAATATTTAATCGATTAAATTCTTCAACGAATGGAGCTAAGAAATCTTCCACACTATTAGGTTTAGCTTGCCCAAAAAATATGCAAATCGGAAATACTTTGTACACATCAGGGTTGAAGTGAACTTTTCCTGATACTACCCAAAACTGACCATCTCCAGATTTATGTAAGGGTAAGCCATCACAACTGACTTGAAGTTCGATAAAATTATCAATATGTAATGCAGGATTTATGCACATTTCTAAATTATTTTGCATTTTAAAATATACAAATTGACCCATCTTTCCTTTACAGTCTTCCATATTAATTATAGTATACCGAGCATCGTTTGTGTGAAGAAATGTTTTTGCAGTTTTGGGCAGAGTTGGAAGCAGATCTCTCAGAATTTTCAGTAAATCATCAAGATCCTTTTGATTGAGTCGTAGACTCCACTCACGCAATCTTTCTACTACTGAAGGAGGATTTTCCGGTACATGCTCTTCCTCTTCAACGTTTCCTAAATTATCATCGCCAAATTCATCATTGGAAGAATCGTCCGAAGTATCACCATGAACAGCATAATAATACCTCGCTAAGTTGTCGCCGTCATAATCGTCATCATCACTAATAACCTCTTCGCTTTCTACAGAGATTTCCTCCCTTCTCCGGTCATAATCGTCAACATCACTGATAAACTCTTCGTTTTCTACCGAGATTTCTTCCCTTCTCTCTTCGGCTTCGTTATTTTGACTCATTTCTTCGACATCTATAATTATAAAATTATCAATTGAACAAATAATTAAAAATTTTCAATTATTATATATAATTACAAAATCCCAAAATATTAAAGAAAATCATTTATACTTATAACTCACTACTATTATTAAAATTTACTTTTATCTAGAGTTTGTCAGGTTTTGTAATTTCATGTATTTATTTCAGGATATATTTACAGGGTTCTCACAAGTTTCAGTTTATCAATTTCCCCTGACAAAATTCATTCTACAGGAAAATATGAAAGTTTACGAAAGATACGTAAAAAAAATGAAATTTAATAATTTCTAAAAATTACAATTATAACCCTTTTTGAATTCAATTATACACAATGGAAAAGTTTCCAAACAATTGAAATTTTGGTAAAATCTTTTAAAAATAATTGAATTTTTGAGAAATATAAATAAAAATAATCAAATTTTTGAAGAATTTTAATAATAAATATGACCATGATTTTTCAAAAATTTTAATAAGTCTTAAAAAGTAAATTTTCATAAATTTCTATTTACTTTGTCCGAAGAACAAGGAATCTTAAAGAAGTATGAAAAACCAATTCTAAAAATTAGTTTTTAAAAATATTTTAATGTAATTTTTCGAAAATAATTAAATTTTAATTAAAATGTTGATCATGATTTTTTTCTCCAAAATGTTAAAAATTATTGTTATTTGGATGTACTTGAATTTTTAAAAATTCAATTATTTTTAAAATTTGCAATTAAAATTTTTCAATTTTTTAAAATAATTCGAAAAAAGTCTCAGTTTTCTAAATTTCCCTGACAAACAATTTTTCCCTGACTTTACTGACATGTGGCCACCCTGATTTAATAAAATCTACATACCTATTCTAATTACATTTCATTAAATTAAATAAAGTTACATTTTACTTTAAAGAACTATGTATTTTTATTAAAAAAAAAAATTGTTCACTTTTTTTTGAAGTGCATAGAACAAAAATTTAAACACCTCTCAGTCTATAGAAATTATTTATTATCTAAAAGCAAGTCTTCACTTCTAACAAGCAGTCTTAATTTAGTACGTATTATTAAATAATTACCTCTGAAATTGTCCAAGTTTTCATTTTCAGATTGTTCGGACACATACATAACCTCATCATTTCCATCACTATGATTATTGGTCGGCTCACTGGATTCACCCTCTGCTCTGGATTCGTCGCTTAATAATTTCTTTCTCGACCGAAATTTTTTACCTCGTATTCGTCCTTGATTACGAGATCTTTTATTTCCTCTGATATCCATTTTTATATATAAATGCAATAAAAGCAGCTATTCTTTTTATACTGTCAACAACATTGTAGGTATACAAACGTCACTTTCACTTTTAGTAATAAAAAGGCGCATGCGCAAAATCATGTGCACAATCCTTAAAACAGTTTAAGCTAACTAGAACCTGACTAGTTTTCAAGTAGGATAATTTGATGTTCATTTCCAAATCGGGATCCGATTAGGCCCTAAGTAGAATTTATGATCAGAAAGTAACTAGGTAGAATCAAGATTATCTAGATATAAAATAGGGTAAAACTATTCAAAGCCCTACTTGTATCTGATCAGTATTTACTAGTCTAAGTTTTCTGACTAGGATCTAACAAAAGCCCAACTTAAAGTAGGGAGAAATGGGGAAATTTCTACATGGGATGTTCAAACATTTTTAAAAATTCTCATAAAAATTTCAATTATCTTTAGAAATAATTCAATTTTTCTTTGAAATTTAATTATTTTCAAAAATTTTTCTCAATTCAATGATTTTCAATATCTATACTATTTTTTTAAATTTTCCAAAAGAATTCAATTATTTAAAAAAAAAAATTTAATAAAATTCTACACAAAATTTTAATTATTTTCAAAAAATAATAAAAATTTCACAGGAATTTCATTATTTACCAATTTTTTTTATAAATTTCTTCGCAATCATTCAATTATTATCACACATAATAAATTTTTTACAG